ACTAATAAATGTCATTTATAATTTTTGAATGAGTGGTTAGATAGGTGTGATTTTTTAAGTTTGTTGTTCATAGAATAAAATTATCTCCTTATGTTGGGTTTTCACTTAGATATTTTAAAGTTAATTGGGAGTTGAGGTTGTAGCGGTTGTGGGGGATGTCAAGGGAAGATTTTGACGTGTTGCATGAGTTGTGGGCTATGTTGCACCGATACGATACAGATATGACAACCTATAACCCGAATCCAATCGATTGAATGTTTAGCGACTACGATACGGATACGACACGATACGGATACGGGACACGTCAATTCTTAAAAATACAGGATACGTGTATGACGCGGACACGGCATTATAATTTATAAATCATAAATAATAATTAAGAAAGCAATCAAAGCATAATATTTGATATTCCAAAAAAAAAAAAGTAACATCATTTGTAGCCTTGTAGCTTATAATATTAAAATAAAAGTAAACATTAAATGTCTAGTACAACAACAAAAGCATAAACATAAATTGTCTACCACATGAAGCTTCAACTATTCAATAGAAGGAATGACATGATTAGCTTTTTCAGTGGTTTGTCTTTGAACTTCTATATCATCTTCAATAAATATCATAGCTTCTAATTCAGGCTCATCAAGTGAAAGATTAGCAATTTCTAATATTCTCATATCATCAAGAGATTCAAATCCATCTTGGAAATAAGAGAACCTCGCTTGCAACCGCGGAAGTAAATACGACGGATATTTTTTCGGATTTTTTTTTTGTTTTGTTTTTCAACGGACATGCGTATCAGATACGCGTGCCCTTCTGAAATTAAATAGTATTTTAATTGGATACGGCAAATTCATATCCGACACGTATCAGTGCCGTATTGAAGTCGTATTTGTGTATCGGTGTATCGGATACAACACGCCTTCATAAATAGGTGTATCGGTGTAACATAGGTTGTGGGAGACTAGGGTTTAGGGTTGGTTGGGCCCTAGCTAGTTGGAGGGAGAATTATGTTTGAAAGAAGAGGAGAAGAAGATAGAGAGGATAATTAAGAACTCAATAAAAAATCTTAGAGGATCAGAAATCAAGTTCTGCAAAAAAAGTAGAGAAGTAGTCAAATGCTTTCACACAAGATATGCACAAGAAAAAAAATAATTTCATATAATGATAATCAATATAACGTTACATGGCTAGTATTTATAAACTTACAGAAATCCAATCTTATATTCTTGATTTCCACTTGATTTGGAATTGTTGGGCCACTTAAAAGACATCCCATGGATTGGTGATATGGTTAATCATTTAACGAAGGAAAGTAATACAAAATTTTGGGAGGGGACGCTCATTACTTGTATGAAAAGTTCCATGAAATTAAGTATACGCATGATTTCATCATGAAGTGGGCAAACTCTTGCTTGGTTGTCTTGAAATTTGTGTTGTGAAAGATGATTCTGATCATGATGCTTCTTCCATCTTGATGGCATGCTCTTATTCAAACTTTGATCGTGAATTTGTATAGCATTAACTCCGCCACACCTCAAAAAATTTTGCTCCAAATGTTAAATTTATTGCAATCATGTAAATGATTGCGAAGAAAAAAAAAATTCCCATCCTGTATGCACTACATTAAATCTAGGAGTGGAGTGTATGTAGGTGTTGGGAAACCATCGAGAGGAATGTCAACAACAAAGTGGAAAGTTGGGTATACATATATAAATAGATCTTTTCTTTCTACCAAAGGGATAGTATGAAAATTTATATAGACAAGAAACACTTTGATGGTCATGTGCATAATATCATGAAAATAGGAAAGGAGAATATTACAAGAGGCTAGACTAGATAACAAATCATCCATCCAAGGTTTCTATTCAACACAAAAATTTTGGTAGTGCCAAATGAGGGAAACTGGAAGTATGGTAAAATAAACTTAGTGTCCTCATATTTCTGAGATGGATAGAGTTGAAATATAGTTTTATCCATTTCATCATCACTAAAATCATTTAGTTGTAGCATAGGCGTTTGAAAATTATGTACAATTTGTACGGAGGATAATAATATGGTGCAAGTGTTTGAAAATTGTGTACATTTGTGCTAAGAACAATATGAATGAAAATAGTTTTATCCATTCCATCATCACCAAAGTCATTTTGTTGTAGCACGTGTTTGATAATTGTGTACCTTTTGCGATAAAGATAATATTGTGGTTTACAAAAGATGATGAATCATATTATCTAGATCGAGAGGATTTAAAAATAGCCCATCAAAGTTATTATTTGTGTTACATCATTTATTGTAGTAAGTATAGGGTAAGGGCAGGCTTTGGCTGATATATAAGGGTAAAAACTGATCAATAGAAGCTCAACATTAGACTTTATGAGGTAGCCTAAATTTTTTCTACTTATGGTTGAATAAGGAGGAGTTTGATAATTTTATTATTATTCTTGATACATAAGTGTTGTGTCCTAGAATATTCGCAACAGTAGAGAAATATAAAGTTTAGCATCTTAGCTTTGTACAAAGATCTAGCACGCATACAGATAAAAGTGAAAGATGTTTTGTTCATAAGAAACAGTAAGATTTTTACATGAAAAATCCTAAAAAGTGGAAAAACCACGGGGCCTGGACCAGTTTGAATAAGTTCACTAATGTTTGTAGTTGATTACAAATGAGGCCCTTCCTTAGGGAAAGGCCTTGGCTCGATATAGCCAATATACATCATATAGACTTCATTACATGGTGGGATTTGGAAGAATCAATGCTGATATGTTCACTTAGTCAGCAGGACCATAGTCGGTGAGCAATGTAGATCGGAAGGACCGTAGTCGTGTGACGGTGATCGGTAGGACCATAGTCGGGCAACAGAGGTCAAAAAGACCTTAGTTGGCGGGCGACGAAAGTCAGAAAGACCACTGTCGGGTAACAACAGTTGGACAGACTATAGTCTGGAGATGGTAGTTGAAGACATCGTAGTCGGCGAGTGACGGAGGTCAGAGAGACCATAATCGACAGGCAACGGTGGTCGGAAAGATCGTAGTCAGGTGAAGAAGGTCAGAAAGACCATAATCAGCGATGGTGGTCAGGAGGAAATATAACAATAATCGATGGACAGGAAAAAGTTTTGTGACAGTTGGTGACTAGGCTAAAGTCGACAAAATCCCGACGATAGTCGGGGGCAAGGCGTAAATCAGGAGTCAATTGGTGGTCGGGTGAAAGTCCGATGAAAGTCCGGTGTCAACCGGTGGCCGAGCATAAATCCAATGTCAGTTGGTGGCCAGGCGGAAGTCCGATAAAATATAACAAATTTTCCTTATCATAATTAATCACATCAATACCATTCAACCAAAGTTTTCCTAATAGAATATGTATTATACCATTAAGAATATAACAAAAAAATTTAATTTTAAAACTGCCTAAGTTGATGGAGTCTAAATATTTAGTGATTATAGGTATAGAGGCATTGTTTATCCAACTAAAAGGGAATATAATTTGATGTGGCACAGGCTAAATGTTTGTACTGACTAATGCATGTGTAGATATGGCATTAATTGAACTACCAATATAAATAACCAATCTAAACCTTATTATTGCATGTGATATACATATGAAAAATATTTTTCTCCAATCCTCAGAATCAAATTTTGTAATAATAAAAAAAAAATCTTATGAAAGCCAAAAAGAAAGGGTGATTTCATCATTGGAAATGAGGTCTACATGTAAGTCTTCCTCAATATCACCAATTTTAGAGGTCTTATTCTCATATAAGTAGAGGATTTATGACTTTCATTGGTTCTACAAATATCATTTGTTGTGGCACTTCAAGAAGGCAAATTCTTTGGAATTTCTAGGTTTTTCAATGGAGGGCTTAGCCTAGACAATGCTAGTAAAAGCTTATGCTGGGTTTATTATTAAGCCTAGACAATTTCTAGGTTTATTATTAAACCTAGGATTGTGGGTGGAAGTGGAAGGACCTCCAAGTTTAGAACTTGGGATTTTTTTTTTATGCATGCCAATCAATAAAGTATAGTAGAAGGCTTCTTCTAAGATATGAGGACCATATAATTCTATATCCTAATGTATGACATAATATCTAAGACAAATTTATTGGTATCTTCCATTATAAATCAATGTAGGTGTTATGGCTAATAAGTCCTCAAAGGCATTCAAATATTCAATCACATGCATATAATTTTATTTTATCGTTAGGTATTGACTATATAAAAAATTCTCACGGTATCTAAGGCAGCATTTTGATTGCAACAGTTGCTTCATATCTACACAAGTCAAAATAGTTCTATCATTCCTTTTGTTCTTCAGCTCATATATTATACAAGGGCATCCTAGCATGACCTATGGGTTTAAATTTGACAAAAAATCCTTTGATAATCATTCTTCTCATTTCAACCAAAGAATTCAACCAATTAGGTCATCCAATCTAAAAACTTGTTTTGATCCTAATTACCATTAAATGGCTCAATCTTACTTCTAGAGCATGGATCATCATGGTTCCTAATTAAGAGCATGTCTACAGTTGGTTCTTTGAATAATTTCACATTTTAACATCTACCAGGATGGTTAATCAAGCAATTTGTAGATTATTCTTTAAAATATTGATTCTTAGAAATTATCTTGATCATGTTCTTAATATAATATTAGTTATATTATTGTGTTTACCCGCATGTATTTTTGGTAAATTTATCGTTTAAGCTCAAAAATGACTCCCAACATCCTGTTACTAGTTAAATCTCATATCCATTAATCCTAAATCCTGATAATAACGTCCAAAAAGTTTTACCAGACAGATTTAACAGCCCAACATTTACTAAATCCGAATTTGCAGATTTACTAAACTCTGCTTGAGTTAAATCCTACTCGAAGATAAACAAAGCCCAAGTGAATAGTTAATAAAAAAAATTAAAAATAAAAAATAAAAAAGCCAGATCAAACTTCTACCTATCCGCCCTAAAGAACAATCAGGTAGAGTAAAAAATCAAACAACTGACACTGACCACCATTCCAGGGCCCACAATTCTCTTTAGGCGGCTCATTTGTACACTTACGAATCCGGAAGAAATTGGCGATCGACTTCTGCATAAGTGGAAATGCTGAGATACCCCAAGAGCCAGGAATCAGAACTCCTATCATTCTTAATCGAATCCAAATACCAACATCTAAAAGAGCATGCCTATAATGTACATACTTCGAACTGTTTTTGCGTCATTGCAGCTAGGGCAAAACCAGGTTCCCGTTGGAACCCTTGGAACGATTGGACGGAGGCAATAGAGATGGTATCCCATGTCGCATCGATCGCAAAGGATGATCTTATCCTCCTCTTCGCCTAACCGGCATTGCTGGCAAAGAACATCCAAATAATAGTCTTCAGTGAGGGGTAAGGCGGGCTTCGCCGTCCTCATTATATCCTCCATGGATTTGTGCTTCCTCTCGCTCGATGGAGGCGGCGCCGCAGTTCGCTTCCGGACGCAGCCATTCGATGGGACGGCCTGCCCCTCCGCCAGCCTCATCGTCGGGAGAAGGGAGCTTCCAAAGCAGATTTCGCGATTACGCTGGTGATTTCTGCGAATCGGCGATGCGATTGGCCGTGAAATCTGAAGGTTGTTGTACTGAGTTTTCTTGGGCTTGGACATGGAATTGAAGAAAGGGAAGGCAAGGTCGAGCTGGTCGCGCGCAGGTGAGAAGTGGACCGGTGTAACGTGCGATGACGTGTAAGGACACTTCTGGCCGGAGTAAAGGGGGGCTGTTTCCAACACTGAAATGACGGAAAACCCCTCTAGGTGAATGAATCTAGACCGTTGACTATATTTCGTATGGTGGATCTCCAACATTAACATGAGCGAGAAAAGGGTAATATCGTTCTTTTATGCGTAATGACAAGGATGCTCGCAGCCGTCGTGGCGGCGGGGCTTTCTTTTTAAAAGAAACATAAAAATTAATTAAATTATTTTTTAAAAATAAATTATTTATATTATATTTTTATATTCAAATTAATTAAATATTGTTAGTTTAAATTCAAATAATATAAAATTTTAAAGAATATTTTTGAATATTTGTTTTCATACATTTTTAAATACATTCAAAATAAAGGCCTTTAATAAAAATATGAAAAAATTTTGCATCATAATGTCTTGATAAAAAATGATCACGATTGACTTTAAAGATCTTATGTTTGCTATGAAAGGAGTGTAGCATAAATTTTTTTTACTATAAATAAATAATTACACTCATCTCAAAGAAAACTCAAAGGGTTTAAAGCCCATTTTGATTATTGGTGAATATTCTAAACAATAAAAAAATGATATTTGAAGCTCTTAATGCCAAAAGTTCAACTAATTTGATAATTCAAAATTACAACATTTAGATTCGCAAGATTACTTTCAAAAAATGATAATCATAGGCTCTAATGTTAGTAAATATAAGTTCCATCTCTTTAAGAGTAATTTAAATCCATACATAGATCATGAATTGGAAGAATGTAGGAGTTGTTGGCAATTCAAAGAAGTTATTGGGATCAGATTTAGGCCATCTAAAAAATGGAGTTGAAGTCACTAGTTTTAAGCTAAATGTTCATCTATATTCATAGTTTTATAAATGCCTTACGAATAAGGCTATTGTATGTCATATGAATTCGAATAACTCTATATCTAGACATACAAGCTATGTACATTATAAGAAAAAATAATGCATTCCAATGTTTTATCATAATTGCTTGCAGCAAAAGTACTCAAAGGAATATCATATGGTTGGGATGTGGTGGTGAAAGGTTTCACGCATTGAATGATAATGTATTTCATGTTTGATCGCTATGAGCATTTCATATGCATGCCATTGAAATAAAAAAATATCTACACTTCAAACACCTTGATGTTATTGTCTCTCCACTTCAAGCTACTTCCAATAAAGGCATGTGTTAGTCATGCTTACTTTAATTCATTTAAACTTGAACAAGTTAGTAACTTTGCTTAGATCTCTAGCCCATTGTCAATAATGTTTGAAGCACTCCTCGTTATCAGTTCAATCTCAACTTCAATCCCTTTTCTCATTCTATAAGTGCAACCTTAGCTTAACTCAACTAGAATTACTACATGAGGCCTTAACATATGCTAACTAACATTTTATCTTAGGATGATTTTAGGATTGCATTGGACTTAGTAAGGAACATAGAGGTGCATAGGAATCATTTAATTTCAAATCATATTCAACTATATCAAAAGTTTGACTTTAATTAACTCTACGTTTGTCCCTCTTTTTTTTTTAAGTTTAACCCTAAATAGTACTTATATACTTAATTAGTGATACAAAAAAGCAACTGGTTCTTCATTAATTTAATTGCATGCGTGTGCATTATAATTGGCCATGAGACCTCTTGATCTTGAATCATGGACCAAGTTTGATCAATAGTCAAACTAGCCCAAATATCTGTTTAACACTTCATTTCATTTGGTGATTTTCAACCATATGACTTAGTCGTTTGGCCAAAACTCTTCCAAGGGATTTTGATCACCAAATCAAACTTGACTTTACCACAATTGTGCTCAACCAAGCTAGCAAGCATTTTATAACCCGTTACCCTATAGGATCTTAGTCTCTATGATTATTGAGTCCACGATGAAGTAAGTTGAACCCATCACTTATAAGTAGTTTAGGATATGCTCTAGCTCACCCTAATGAGAGTCAATCAGATCCCATCTCAATGAAGGAGATATTCAATTTGGGCCATCGCAAGTCACTTGGCTTGAGCCCTATCTCCCTTTGGTTCTCAACATGGCATGGGTATGAATATTATTTAACAACCATTGGGTCTTATTTAAATAAAATCCAATAGTTGAGGTTAATTTTTAGAGAAATTTCCAAAGATTTTCTTATGAATATTGTGATTACAATTTAAATCCAAATTTGATGAAATTTAACCATATGCCAATCAAAACATGTAGAATCTTAGAAAAAGAAACCAAGGTATTTTTGCTTATTTTTAAATTCATTTATTCATTATTTCAAATATAATTAAATAAATGAAAAATATTTTCTTAAAATTTTGATAACTCAAATACATCAATTTATGCCTCTAAAATTTTTTATCAACTCATGGTGAGCATTACATTACATGATAGGGATTTTCCAATGTGTACAATCACTATTAAATAAAAAAGAAACCATGCATATATTCACTAATATATTCGAGAAAAATTATGGTGTGCTTGCACTGTGTTCACACTCATGTTCAAATAATTTCAAAACTTTTAATTAGCCATAATTTGGTATATTTAATAATCAGAAAAAAAAACTATTTTCTAATTATTTAATGCATAAAATCATCTGAAATAAATTTGATTAAAATTGAGAAAGTTTGAATTTGACTTAGACATATTATTTTATTTTAAGCTTAGATAAATCAAAAATATCTAAACGTTTGAATTTGACTTAAACATATTATTTGAATTTGACTTAAACATATATGTAAAATTTTTATTTTTAAATATCAAAAAAAGTTTAAACTTTTTAATAAATTTGAATTTTTATAAATTAATTATTTAATACTTTTAGGAAATTTTCCTAAATCACTAAAATTGCTTCAAAATATTTTAAAAAAAAAATTATTTGATAAGATTCAATTTTTAAAAATGTTGCAAACTTCTTAATATATTCTGCTCCAAATTCCTTAGTGAAAAATGAAATATTCCTCCATTAGAATCACAATTCTAACAAGGTCTCCTCCTTCTGAAAAGATAATAAATAGCTTGTTAACACTTATCCCACATATATCACAATTCTAACAAGTTACTGCTACTATAAATGATGTCATATCTTTTATTCCCATATATATGACATGCAGTCTACAAGATCATTTCTTGGCTTGGTAACACAAATCCTACCTTTAAGGATTTTTCTTAAAATACTTTATAGGCATATTGAAAAGATTAAGTGATGCTCAATTATTTGGCATAAATATTATGATATTTAATATGTCATCAAAACATTCACTTATAGTCAAACTGAACGTTTTGAGGAGAAGAACCCAATGACATCAAAATTTGTCCTATCCGAGATCTAATGGGTCCAATTTGAGTGCCCGAAATATAGTTGGAAGATTCAAAGCATAAATTAGATAACCAATGATATCCAAATGTAGCATTATTATAATCAAATCAAGCAACTTGACGAAGCAAATCCAATTAGCCTAAGATCGCCAAATTATGACATCATTTGAGCACACGATTGCTTAACAAATGGTCCATAATTGAGGGAGTTGATATCGGTCGTTCATTGAATCACTCCCAACACACCCTTGATTTTCTCCTTATTTACTAACCATGTCACTCCCCAAAAAATTATAAATAGATCTCTCATTCTTCACTATGAGGGGACAAGGAGGAAGAGATGAAAAATAAAGGATCTATCTTGTTTCTCAAGCTTGCACCACCGGGCCGTCTACCACCATCAGACTTCCTTTCGACCACCATCGCTCACCAACTACAATCCTTTCGACCACCTTTGTCAGCTGAGTATGGTCCACTCCGAACTTCATCGCCGATTGACTATATATGGTCAACTCCGATCATCGTCACCTGCCAACTATGGTCATTTCGACCACCATCTTTGCCAGCCAACTACAGTCCACTCCGATCATCTTCACCACTCCACTACGGTCCGTCCAACCACCGTCACCCATCGATTACGGTCCACTCCAACCATCGTCACCTGTCAACTACGGTCTATCTGACCTCCATCGCCCACCGACTACGGTCCCCTTCGACCATCATCACCCATAGACTACGATCCCCTCCGGCCACCATCGCCTGTTGACTACTATCCACTCTGACCACTATCACCTGCCGACTACGATCCTTTCAATCATCGTTGCCACTGACTACGGTCTCCTCCGATCACTGTCACCCAAATACAATCCTAATAACCAAATAGATATGTCAAAACTCTTTTAACAACATTTATCTTGTAATGAGCTATATACAATGCATATTTGGGCCTTCCCCTCATGGAAGGACAATATTTGTAGTCAACCATCAATACTAGCGGATTCATTCAAACTGGGTCAGACCCAGTAGCTTTTCCACTTTTCATCTTTTTCTACGTAATAATCTTGGAGTTTCTTATGAATATTGCACCCTTTTCATTTATTTGTTTATGTACTCGATCTTCGTACAAAACTAAGACGTTAAACTTTATCTTATTGTATTGCCACTAATGTTTCAAGATGCAACAATATTAGATACTTCTCTTTTGCTTGATTTACTTGATCGGTAGGCTTGAAACTGTTAATGTGTTGCTTCCTTGTAATCTAGACATTTATTCTCTGTGTTTTTTGCTATATGCACCAGGAAACAAAAAGTAACCTCTTCTTTTATTGTTCATTTACACTCAATATTCTCACACACTCCTCGTCGTGCATGGCTACCTTTCATTCCACCCCAACCTCCTACAAGCTTGTCATTTTAGATGATTAGAGGTTACCTTCACATGTTGTCAAAAACACTATTAATTCTCCACTTAGTACTTGATCTATATCATATGATGTGAGAGAATTGACAACTTTTTTGGCAATTCAACTTCTTCCTCTACTTAGTACTTGATCTATATCGAACGGTTCTCTGCACGTAATAATATCTCCCTTTTTTTTGCATTTACGGCTGTTTTCCTTTAGAAAGGTTAGTTTTTTTTTTT